CTCTTCTTGAAGAACACCAGCTACGTGAAAGGCAACTGGTGTTTTTTAAGTGAGCTGAAGCTTGGGCACATCCATGACAATTCAGACTCCTGACAAGGGGTACAGTCGTCTGGAGAATTGAGTCTCTGCTGCCAGCTTTCCAAAGAGACTGATCCTAGTAATCCTCAAGCTCTAGTAGATTTGATTGCGTGTTCCAGCTCTCTTTGCTGATTCTGGTCTGCACGTTGGGTGAGATGAAGTTGCAAGTGCATAGTTTGACACAGACGAGGCAATGCAGTTATCTGATGTGCTTTGCAGGACCCTAAGGAGTACCTGCCATTCTTAAACACCCTCCGGAAAATGGAAACCAACTATCAGTGCTACACTATAGACAAGTACTTGAAAAGGTACAAGAAGGCGCTCTGCCACCTCAGCAAATGTGGTAAGTGCCCTGCAGGCATTGTGTCTCTGGACATCTCTCTCTGTCATCGCACTTCCGTCTATAGACTCGGGATAAAAAGTAAACGTGTCACAGGAAGCCAGTGTAGGATCCTTGTTTGTGGTGTTGCTGTTGCATGGATTCGCTCCGTTACTTGATTTTACACCTTCATTTGCACCAACTCTTTTTTTATGGGAAGCTCTTTTGCTGATGCACAAAAAATGGCTCATAAAGCAAGTTGATGATTAGGGTTTGCAGAGATGCCATTGTGTGTCTGACCCATGTTGGCACATTCATTACTTCCCGTGTCTGGAATGTCTCCTTTCACTTCATCATTGTTCAGGGTGTGGCCAGCAGACAATCCTGGCCCCCTCAGCACAGTTCCTAAGGGCTGCGGTGGGGCCAGGCACGCGTCCCGTGTCCCAGCGGAGCTAAGGTGTAGCTCAGCGACTGATATTGAGCTCTCGGGGCTCAGGAGCCAAATTTGCCATCAGCACAGGAGTGTGAACTCATTACTCCGCTTCTGTAGTCCTAGAGATTCGTATTTAAACCTTGTGACGGGGACGTCGTTAGCTTATATTTACCTACATCTTACTGGCAGCAGAATGACTGGCCAAGTATTATTTTATCAACCACCACCGGTGAATACCAGAGTAAACGCATGCTGGTAAGTCAGTGTTTGTGTCGGGCCACAGCAGACACGTTCAGGAGCCCGCTGTGACTTGGGACCTCCGTCTGACTGCCCACGGGTAGTTGGTCGGTTGTGCCATGGCCCCAGAGCTGAGCCAGCCAGTCTGTCCCACAGCATGTCGTGTGCTCTCCTGTGCTGTGCCGGTACCACTGGAGGACAGGGAATTGCTTCCCCCAGGTCCGGAGCACTTCTCTGAATTTCTGAACTTGGTGAAGGATCAGAATTTGTACAGCGAAGCCCTGAAGCTGTATCCGCCTGACAGCCCAGAACATGAGGTGTGTGAGATGTGCGGTGACCCCACGGGGATGGGGGGGGCTGCTGTGCTCGTCAAGTGCTGGCCTCTGTTGACTGCCCGGAGTTCCTAGGGAATGCCTGTTCTCTGCACTGCACTTCCAGACTCTTCTAGTCTCTTGCTTAATGGTGAACTGCAGCTGGGGTGGGGGAGGAGATGTTCATAACGAGAAGTGTCTGCAGTGCTCACTGTCCCCAGCCCCCATTCGCAGGTTCCAGTCCTATGCAGCACTGGCCGGTGTCGGTTCCCTGAGAGGTGAGCCTCTCTCCCATTGGCGCTGTGAACTCACCATGCAGCTTGTGCAATAACTGACGTGTCATGGGCAGAAAGAGAGAGCAGCTGCCCTGCATCCAAGCATAGGGTCCCTCGTGGGGCCTTGCCATGGTGAGCTGTGCAGCCCCAGGCGGTAGAGCCTCGTATGCCATGTGCACACCTGCGTGTTCTTGTCACGTGCTTGTGCCCTGGGACATTGGCCAGGGCCATCTCTGAGCCCAGAGAGCGAGAGCCTGGGCCAGTGGCTGCCATTAGCTAAACCAGGACCGATTTCCTTGACTCCTCTTTCCTCGGGCTGCTGGTGACTCCAGTCACACTGTTTGGTCTGACTCCCACAGGCTGTCGGCAGTGCCTTTGGGGAACACTTGAGCCAGAAGCATCTTTATGAGCAGGCCGGACTGATTTTTGCCCGCTGTGGTGCGTTTGAGAGAGCCCTCGATGCCTTTGTGAGCAGTGGCAGCTGGCAGCAGGCCCTCTGCATGGCCTCTCGTCTTGGTTACACCGCAGATCAGCTAGCTGGCCTTGCCAGGGGCTTGGCAGGTAAGAGTCAGCGGGAGAGCAAAGCACAGGTGGCCAGCGGGAGTCGCGGGTGCAGTGTGGAGTCTACTGACACTTCACTGGAACGGCAGCCTTTTGGCAGCAGATTTTTCAGAGGCCTCAGTCCGCGGGGAAGAGGTCTGAGTGTGGAGCTGAAATATTGCTGGGAGGTTCCTGTGTATCCTTACACAGGCATAGTGTGCTGAGATGCCGGGAAGGCAGGGAATTCATTGCACGAGCCAGGGCCCTCGTGAGGGAGAGCCCGTGTCAGCTCCACCAGCCTGCAGGAAGCAGACCCAGCAAGCTGGCTCCTGTCTCCTCTGTGGGGAGGTGAACTTCTCACGCTCTGCCAGAGCCACTTGCTCACACAGGTCTGCAGCAGTGATGCCCGTGTCTGGCTCAGGGTTTATCTCCACTCACAGGGCTGCTCATGAGAGGACAGACTCCGGGCTCTGGAGCACAGCTTCCCAGAGTGTCGGGCATATCCTTGGGGGGTGTAGGACAGCCAGTGGGGCGGCGGGCCTGGCCAGCCCCGTGCAGGTGGGGACGGAGTGCCACAAGCCCTGCTCCAGCCCCAGCATTGGTCACTGGCCATGACTCCTTTCCTTGCCCAGAGCTGAGGTTGGGGACAAGGCTCCAGCGCCAGCTGTGGCCCCACTCCTGACTCAGAGGGAGGGGAGGCTGTGAACAGGGCGAAAGGGGGATTGGGCAATGAAAAGTTTGGGGACCGCTGGTCTAGAAATTGCCTCACTAACCCATCAGTGAGTCCAATGGTCCCAGTACAATCTGTTCCTCTCTTCCCCACTCTGTGACCAGAATGACCCCCTTGCAAACCTCCCCCCTCCAGGCGTTGTGATTCAGAGGGTTGGCTCCAGCAGGGCAGTTGGCTTCCTGGAAACTCCTGGCTCCTGCTGTCTGGTTGCTTGCTCAGTCTGGCAGACAAGGTCCGGCAGATCCAGCAGTGGGAAGACGGATCTGGATCTATGGGTTCCCAAACTGGGGGGGCGTGAAGAAATCCCGGGGGGGTGCGAGGCGACCCAGCCCCCCACACACCCGTCATCCCACCCCACGTTTTGCTGCTATTTGTTTAGGAGGGGGGGCATGAGGGTTTCTCAGGAATCGAAAAGGGGGCGTGATGCCGAAGAGTTTGGGAACCACTGCCTAGTCAGATGGGGAGGAAGGTGTGAATCGTTAACAGGGAGGGGAATTAGCCCCTGGGGCAGGATTCTTTCCATAGATTACCATCAGCTAATCTGACTTCCTTACCCAGAGTCATGCTGCATTTCCCATCCCTGGCAGCCGCAGCACTAGCACCTGGGCTCAGGAGACCTTGCTTCTAGTCCGTGTTCTGCCCCGACCTGGAGGCAAGCCTGGGAAAGACATTGCTCATCTTCTCCTGGGGCCCTGTCTCAGACGGCCCCCTGGGCGCTCCAGTCCTGGGCGTGATTAGCAAGGAAGAAGCTGCTGGGGAATCGGCCTTCATGCCTGTGTGGTCTTGGCGCTGAGCTCTCGCTGAGCAGAGAAGGGGCGGCTGTCCTGAGACGCCCTGCCGGCAGCGGGAAGGCTGGGCAAGTTCTGCAGGGGCAAGATCTGTAAAGTCTGGCTCAAGTTTAAATAAAAGAAACTCCCTCTCCCCAGCATTAGGAGATGGGAGAGGAACGGGTGGAGGAGTTCGTATTAGTGGATGCCGTGGACAGACACCCCGGGTCCATTATCCCCAACGGTGGGGATCCTCCACTTCTAGATTAGGTGTCTTGTGTGGACCCCAACTCCAGCTCTTCCTGAAATGCCGAATTCTGTCCTTCTCCTGTAGGAAAGCTCGTTGAACAGAGGAAACATGCCGAGGCAGCCGTACTCCTGGAGCAGTACGCACAGGTACTGTGCACCTGGCGCCGTTTCCCCTCTGCCGTCCCTCAGACCTGATCGCTCTACTCGGCCTGTGTCCCTTCACTGCTCGCGTTGATCCCTTGACAGAAGGATTAACCTGGAGTTGCAGGGGGAGGGGTGAGCCAACTCTAGCCTGGCCGCCCAAGTACTGTCCTGGCCTTCTCCCGGGGAACACGTTCCTGCCAGTGTTGGCCTGCACTCTGGTATTCCAGTTGTCGCACTGCCCTCATTCTGTGTGCGCTCCAGTCTGACTAGTTGGTTCTTAGAGCACAAGTCCTGGGAGTGTGGAGACCTAAATTGAAATCCTAGCACTGCCACATGCTTGACATTTGCCTTTCTGCGTCTATTTCCCCACATGTAAAATGGTGATTTGAGTAAAGCTCCACAGGAATTTGGAGAAAAGTGGGTAACTAATCAGGCCTGTGCGCAGGAATGTGCATGCGAGCGCATGTTTTTTTGGGGTAATTGACACACACACACCCCCATGGTCGCCCGAGTAAGCGTGCTTTGGAGAGGAGTCTAAGGGGGTGATATGATAGAGGTTAATATAATCATGACAGGTATGGAGAAAGTGAATAAGGAAAAGTTCATATTCTTGTTCCCATAACATAAGAACTAGGGGTCACCAAATTAAATTAATAAGTAGCAAGTATAAAACAAAGTTTTTCTTTATACAGCACATAGTCAGTCTGTGGAACTCCTTGCCAGAGGATTTTGTGAAGACCAGGACTTTAACAGGGTTCAAAAAAGAACTAGATACATTCATAGAGGTTAGGTCCATCAATATTTATTAGCCAGGATGCCTAGGAATGGTGCCCCTGAGCCTCTGTTTGTCAGAAGCTGGGAATGAGTGACCATGGAGGGGTCACTTGAGTCCCTGTTCTGTTTACTTCTGGAGCAACTGGCCGTGGCCACGGTCGGCAGACAGAACACTGGACTAGATGGATCTTTGGTCTGACCCAGTACGGCCATTCTTAAGCTCTAAAGAGAGTGGGGAGTAGGATGAAATTCAGTGGTATAAAGTGCAAAATTATGCGCTTATGTTCTAATAAGGAGAGTTTCTGTTACAAACTGGGGCCTCATCAGTTGAAGGTGATAGCAGAGAAGAGAAAGCTGGAAGCGTTGATCACAGGATGGCTAGGGTCCTAGGATGTGACAGGTGAGTCATTTCTAACGGCCAGGGCTCGACAGATTAGGCAATCCACTCGCCCGTGGCGAGTAGATTTTAGCCCGGTGGGGCTGCGCAGTGTGCAGCGTGCGCTTTGTGTGGCTGGCGAGCCACTTGGCAAGCCCTGCTAATGGCCATACCAAATTACTACACTATGTACTATACTGTATAAAATATCTTAAATACTGTGTACCATTGTTTTCACCCCTGTTCAAGAATTTCAATAGAAATAGGTGCAGAGAAGAGTTACTAGGATGACTGGGGAAAGGAGGATCTGCCTTATGAGAGGAGACTGGAAAAGTTGGGCTTGTTCAGTCTATCGAAAAAGAAGGCTGAGAGGGGATATTGCTCCTCACTATAAATAAGATAAATACCAGGGAGGGTGAAGAGCTATGTATGCCAAAGAATAATTTGTGCGCAAGAACAAATGGATTTGAACTGGCCATGAACAAATGTTGGCTGGAAATTAGAAAGTTTCTCGCCATCAGAGGGGTGAGATTCATGCAATAAGAGTTGTGAGGACAAAGAATTGAATTTCGAGAGATGGACACATTTCTGAGTGTAGTTGTAGGAGGGGGTTGCTTGTGATGGGAGCAGGCAAGCTGTACCTGTCCCGGGTCTCACTTTATATCCTAGCTCCCTACAAGTTCATGCTTCAGGTTTTCAGAGAGCTACTTGCAGGGTCAGGAAGGGAATATTCTGTGGGGTGGTGTTTTTGTTTTAAAAATCTTCATCCCGGCACCAGGAATAGCCATGGCTGGAAATGGGATATGGGACAGGAAGACCAGGCCTCTAAGGCCTTGCTCACATGCCCACCACATGTTAGTCCAGGTGAAATTTCCCCCAGTCAGACTGGCAGTGACCTCAGAGGCCTTACGCTGCAGGGAGGGTGCGGGCCACTCACTGGGCTTATCTGGGTATTTCTCAGTCATTTCCCTGCCACGTGAGGGTCTCCAGCGCGCTGGTGGTCCTCAGTCTCGCCTGCGCCACGTACTAGTTGAGCCTTCTGTAAAGGTAGTGCTTGGGGTAACTCCGGCTGTAGGGCCAGGGTGCTGGTGCTCTGTGACATGCAGGAGGTTCGATGAGATTAGTGGGTTTCAAACGTATTTGATTGGCCCCCCCTTTGTGTCTGTGGTCGTTTATGCCCCTCAGATGCTGTGAAGGCAGCCCAGCAGCAGCAGCACACAAAGGTTGGCACTGTGAACATGGAGAGCTGTCAGTGTCACTTCAGTTCCCAGCAGACTCGATGCCCCGTTGCCACGCTGGTGCTGTTGCTGCTGCCCCGGGAAGCTGGCAGCCCCCTGGGAGAGCAGCAAGGTGGGGGACTGGCAGAAGAATGGGGAAGGACAGTCTGAATCCAAATGGCAGGGCTCTGGCTTCCCCTGGGGGTCCACCTTCCAGGCTTCTGCAGGGCACCGTTCCCAGGAGCTGGCAGCCGGAGCTCTTGAAAAGAAGAGTCTCCTTGGCCAGGCCTGCCCCGACCTGAGAGCCCCTGGACTAGATACTTTGGTGGCCCCTTCTAGCGCGGCACTCTCCACTTCCATCCCCTCCAGCAGAAGGGGAAACTGAACGCGTCTCCCCATCCCAAGTGAGCCATGGTCCCGTATTTTCAGGTCCGTGCTGCCAAGGCTTAAGCAGGAGTGCGCAATAATTGTTAATGGGGCCACGCCAAGGTTTTGGCAAGTGGCCAAGGCCCACACTTCAGTGGAGGGGTGCACAGTCTGGGCTGGAGGTTGTGTGCAGAAGAGAACTGGAGACAGGGGCCAGGGGTGCAGGAGGGGATGTGGGGTCTGAGGCAGTTCGGGTGAAGGGGGGGCTGTGGTCTTGGGGTGCAGGGTTCAGGGGTTCAGTAGGGGCCTGGGGTGCAGGAGGGGATGTGGGGTCTGAGGCAGCTCGGGTGAAGGGGGGGCTGTGGTCTTGTGGTGCAGGGTTCAGTAGGGGGGTGGGTGCAGGTGAGGATTTTGGCCTGGGAGACGGGCTTTAGAAGGGGGTGCAAGGTCTGGGAGGAAGGTGTGACCTGGGCGACGGTGAAAAGGGGGTACAGAAGGTTTGGGTGGTGGCCTGGGGCAGGAAGTCGGAGGGGCTGGGGTGCCAGAGGCAGGCTGAGTCTGGGAGGCGCTTACCTGTAGAAACCCGAGGCAGACTCTGCTGCAGGCTGCTCACTGCTCCACGTGGCTCCCCCCTGCTGCCCGAGAGGGAGGGAGAAGGCTTTCCACACTGCCTCTGCTCCCAGCAAAAATTCTCAGCTCCTGGAAAACTGGCCAATGGGTGCTGAGATCTTTCGCTGGGGGTGGGAACAAAATGAGAAGTCGCCCTCCTCCCTCCCCAGCGTCCAGAGCAGGGAGCAGCTGCCTTTAAAGCGTGAGCTGTTCTCTGCCTGGGGTTCTGGCCAGGTGGCTGCGGGCTGGGTCTGGCAGCCTCTTTCAGGGGCTGTCCCCTGGCATGGGGCATGGCCTGTGCTCTACCCTGGGGAGGGAGGAGCTGGCAGGCAGTGGCTGCTCTCCCGCCCAGGCTGCTGAAGGTCATGCAGTGACAGGGCTCCTGACAGCTCCCCTCTGCTGCCCCAGGGACTGGCTCCAGCATTGCCCATGTCTCCCGCCTCCCTCTGCCCACCCAGCCTTTCTTTGCCCCCAGGAGCAAGGCCATGGGCGAGGGATCAGCTCCAGCCATTGACTGGCCAGAGCATGGGGGAGGGAGGCTCAGGCAGTGTGCCACTCAGCTTCCCCCCCGGCTGGCCAGAATCGGGACTATAGAGGACCATTGGGGGTGCGTTCGCACCCGTCACACGCACGCCGTGTACGTGGCTTCTAACACTGTCTGCTGACGGGGGAGCTATAGAGTGCTGCTAATGGTGATGGCTTGATCTTGTTTGAAACTGAGCCTGCGATGAGGATACACTGTGTCCTCCGCCAAACAGCTGTTACCGTCAACATTTTTTTCACACTGTCCTGCATGTAAGCCAACCCAAGCAGATGCAAGTGGCAGCATGGCACCGGCTAATGAAGAGGCCCCCAGGTTTCTTTAGACTCTAGAGTTTGGATTGTCATACCTTTAGGGCTGTCAGTTAGTGGGCATTAACGCCTGCAATTAATGCAGGGCAGAATCAATGTGTTAAAAAACGTAACTCGCGTTAATCGCAGAGGTCAGTAAACTAGCAAGAGCTGCTCCAGAGATCGTGTCTGGTAAGGCGCAGTGATGCAAACCGCACAGGGGGCGCACGGAAAAACAAAGCAGCCAGAAAGGGGGGAAAACTGAAGCCCTGGTTCCAGTTCCAGCTCCAGCGGAGAAGTAAACAAAGTAAAAACCCTGATACCCGTCCCTCTCCCCTCCCAGGGGACCACATTTTGTAAAACAAAACAGCCTGGGGGGGCAGCTTGCTGAAACTGTCCCTCTTCTCCCCTCCCCCCCGCCCCCACCACAACAATTCTGTGTTTAATTGAAATTAGTATATTAGGATGTAGAAAACATCACAAATATTTAAATAGACAGTATTCTTATTATTGTTTTAGTGTGATTATTGCGATTCTTTTTTTAATTGCTTGCCAGCCCTAGATACTTTCAGTTCTGCCTGCACTCGTTCTTGCTAGCTTGTTCGCTCTGTGCATGTCAGATGGGTTCTCTCTCATCAAAGAGGAGATGCTGGCTGAGTAGAAGCTGAGCAGAAGCTATGTGATAGGACACCAAAGCCTGCAGCATGCTTCCAAACGTTTCTGGAGGGGCCTATCACTACAGTTGAGCTGAGTTTGATAAATGTCATTTGGCTGCCAGGAATCCTGAAAGGAAAGTGCCGGGCCTGCTGCTCTGCTAGCTAGTGAAGAACGCTGACGTTGGATGTGTTGCAGGTTCGATCACACTTGTACAGATGTAGACGTGACTTTTGCCCCGTGCTGTAAGGAGCTTGAAACTAGTCTCTCTCCTCACATGCTTGTGGAGCGAGTGTGTGTCCGGGAGTGACGCTGGATTTGGGATGACAGGGAGGCCAGCCGAGGAGAAACTCAACACAACTTCGGGTTCCATTAAAATGTCCCTGTGCTGTAAATACGCTGGATTGGTTCCTGTCGCGCGGGGAGCTGTGCTTGAGAGGTTGCTGTCCAGAAGGCCAGTACCCCATGCCAGAGGTAGTGTGTGACTGTAGTGCAGTAATCATTGCTTCCTTTGTCTCCTTTCCCCAGGACTATGAAGAGGCTGTGCTCCTGCTCATAGAAGGGACATTTTGGGAAGAAGCCTTGAGACTAGTAAGGGCATTCCAAAGTCCTAACTCCTAGAGAGTTCCTAGTGTGAGGCTGTGTGTATCTCCTAGAGAACTCTCCCCTCGCTCTCTCCCCAGATTCACAAGTACAACCGACTAGACATTCTGGAGACCAACGTCAAACCTGCCATCCTAGAAGGTGAGCCCCTCCGTATTGTGAGCGCATAGGGCTCTGCTCGGAATGGAGCCCTGGGGAGAGGGGTGAGACCTGCACTGGCTTTGCCTAGTTACAATGGATGTCTAATCACATCTGACTCTGCTCAGCACAGCTTAACATGCAGCCATGTGACAGGCAGTTCTGACTCCATCTTGCCCTCCTTCAGGTCAGTGGCAAGATTCCCAGACATCAGTGCTGCATGCTGGGATTTGTGTGTGAGGGAGAGTCAGCGGGAAGTAGCAGTGTTGTGGGTTAGCAAAGGGAGTGCATTGCCGGAGCTGAGCGCACAGAAAGTGTGTATCCATGGAGCTCCTCTGCGGAGGAGTTTCGAGGTGTCAGTCTACAGGAGGGCTGGGCTGATTGTTGGAGAACTCTCCTTCCAGTGTTGGGATGGGAGTGAAGTACTCTGTTTTCCGGAAGCGTCGTAATGCAAGGGGGTTAAAGAAGGGCCCATAGTCTGTGGCTACAAGCTTTACAAACAGGAGCTTTGAGTTAGATTTCTAAATCCCAGGCTGGGCACGGGCTGCCTTTAACACTCTGGCTCTGGTAACCTACCTGTATGCTCCTGTTGGCTTTTTTCAAGCTTTGAATTTCTATTACTGTGTGTGGTTCCTGAACAGTTCTAGACCTGCTGTGCTGGGCTGCAGAACACTCACAGCATGTTACAAATACAAACGTGTCGGCACTAGTATTGCTTCCAGAGGGACTTGGAAAAGGGTTTTAAATGTTAGAATGTGCTTATTTATCTTTGGTCTGAACCTAAAACCTCCTTGGTCTCTTTTGCATCCTGCAGCCCAAAGAAATTATTTGGTAATTCTGGATTCTCAGAAAACAACGTTCACTCGCCACAGAAAGCGCCTCCTGGTGGTTCGAGAGTTGAAGGAGCAGGCCCGCCAAGGACTATTGGGTATGTTTCTGGACTGATGCAGCTTCTCTAGAGTCAGTAACTAGTCGTGTCTTAGCAAGTTCCTGAACACACCAGTGAAGTGGTTTTCTCATAGGAACATAAAAATGGCTATAGTGGCTTAGATGAATGATCCTTCTAGCCCAGATCCTGTTTTTCAACAGTGGCCAGTGCCAGGCACTTCAGAGGGAGCAAACAGAATAGGGAAATTATTGAATTATCCATCCCCTCTGGTCCAAGTCTCTGAACTCTAGAAGCCAGGAGCATTAGGAATATATTATCGACCGCCTGACCAGGACAGTGATAGTGACGTTGAAATGCTGAGGGAGATTAGAGAGGCTACCAAAATAAAAAACTCTAATAATAATAATAATAATAATAATAGGGGATTTCAATTATCCCCATATTGACTGGGTACATGTCACCTCAGGACAAGATACAGAGATAAAATTTCTCGATGCCTTAAATGACTGCTTCTTGGAACAGCAGGTACAGGAACCCACAAGGGGAGAGGTAATTCTCAATTTAGTCCTGAGTGGAGCACAGGATTGGGTCCAGGAGATAACCGTTACAGGACCGCTTGGGAATAGTGACCATAATATAATAACATTTAAAATTCCTGTGGTGGGAAGAACACCTCAGCAGTCCACCACTCTGGCATTACATTTCAAAAAGGAGATTTATGCAAAAATGAGGAGATTAGTTAAACAGAAATTAAAAGGCACAGTGTCTAGAGTAAAATCCCTGCAAGCTGCATGGAAACTTTTCAAAGATACCATAATAGAGGCCCAACTTAAATGTATACCCCCAAATTAAAAAACACAGTAAGAGACCTGAAAAAGAGCCACCGTGGCTTAACCACCATGTAAAAGAAGCAGTGAGAGATAAAAAGTCATCTTTTAAGAAGTGGAAGTCCAATCCTAGTGAGATAAATAGAAAGGATCATAAACACTGTCAAATCAAGTGTAAAAATGTAATAAGAAAAGCCAAAAAAGATTTTGAGCTAGCCAAAAACTCAAGAAGTAATAGCAAAATGTTTAAGTACATTAGAAGCAGGAAGCCTGCTAAAAAACCTGTGGGTCCCCTAGATGATCGAGCTATAAAAGGAGCAATCAAGGACGATAAAGCCATTGCGGAGAAACTAAATGATTTCTTTGCTTCAGTCTTCAAGGCTGAGGATGTTGGGGAGATTCCCAAACCTGCACCGTCCTTTGTGGGGGGTGAATCTGAGGAACTGTCCCGGATGGAAGTGTCATTAGAGGAGGTTTTGGAACAAATTGAAAAACTTAACAGTAACAAATCACCAGGACCGGATGGCATTCATCCAAGGGTTTTGAAAGAAATCAGATGGGAAATGGTGGAACGATTAACTGTGGTTTGTAGCCGATCCTTTAAATCAGTTTCTGTACCCAAGGAGTGGAAGACAGCTAACATTAACGCCAATATTTCAAAAGGGCTCTAGAGGCCACCCTGGCAATTACAGACCAGTAAGTCTAATGTCAGTACCGGGCAAATTAGTCGAAACAATAGTAAAGAATAAAATTGTCAGACACGTAGAAGAACATAATTTGTTGGACAAAAGTCAACATGGTTTCTGTAAAGGGAAATCCTGTCTTACTAATCTATTAGAGTTCTTTGACGGGGTTAACAAACATGGACAAGGGGGATCCAGTAGATATAGTATACTTAGAGTTCTCGAAAGCCTTTGACAAGGTCCCTCACCAAAGCCTCTTGTGTAAATTAGGATAAGAGGGAAGATTCTTTCATGGATTGAGAACTGGTTAAAAGACAGGAAACAAAGGGTAGGAAGAAATGGTAAATTTTCAGAATGGAGAGGGGTAACTAGTGGTGTCCCCCAAGGGTCAGTCCTGGGACCAATCCTTTTCAACTTATTCATAAATGATCTAGAGAAAGGGGTAAACAGTGAGGTGGCAAAGTTTGCAGATGATACTAAACTGCTCAAGGTAGTTAAGACCAAAGCAGACTGTGAAGAACTTCAGAAAGATCTCACCAAACTGAGTGACTGGACAACAAAATGCCAAATGAAATTGAATGTGGATAAGTGTAAAGTAATGCACATGGGAAAAAATAACCCCAACTATACGTACAGTATGATGGGGGCTAATAAAGCTACAACTAAGCAGCAAAGATCTTGGAGTTACTGTGGATAGTTTTCTGAAAATGTCCACGCAGTGTGCAGTCAAAAAAGCAAATAGGATGCTAGGAATTATTTAAAAAGGGATAGAAAATAAGACAAAGAATATCTTATTGCCCCTGTATAAAACTATGGTACGCCCACATCTTGAATACTGTGTACAGATGTGGTCTCCTCACCTCAAAAAAGATATTTTGGCCTTGGAAAGGGTTCAGAAAAGGGCAACTAAAATGATTAGGGATTTGGGACGGGTCCCATATGAAGAGAGGTTAAAGTGTGTACAGATGTGGTCTCCTCACCTCAAAAAAGATATTTTGGCCTTGGAAAGGGTTCAGAAAAGGGCAACTAAAATGCTGAGGGGTTTGGAACAGGTCCCATATGAGGAGAGGTTAAAGAGACTGGGACTTTCAGTTTAGAAAAGAGGAGACTGAGGGGGGATATGATAGAGGTCTATAAAATCATGAGTGGTGTGGAGAGGGTGAATAAAGAAAAGTTCTTCATTAGTTTCCATATAATAGGAGGACTAGAGGACACCAAATGAAATGAATGGGCAGCAGGTTTAAAACTAATAAAAGAAAGTTCTTCTTCACATAGCTCACAGTCAACCTGTGGAACTCCTTGCCAGAGGAGACTGTGAAGGCTAGGACTATAACAGTTTTAAAAAAAAGCTAAATAAATTCATGGAGGTTAGGTCCATAAAAGGCTATAAGGAATGGTGTCCCTGGCCTCTGTTTGTCAAAGGCTGGAGCTCGATAGCAGGAGACAAATCGCTTGATCATTGTCTTCGGCCCCCCGCCTCTGGGGCACCTGGCATTGGCCACTGTCGGCAGACAGGATACTGGGCTGGATGGACCTTTGGTCTGACCCAATCTGGCCGTTCTTATGTTCTTAGCGTGATCTGTTGATTCCATTCACTTTGTATGAAAACTTGCACTTCCTGCTGTAAAATTTAAATTTCTTGTACAGAACTGCCAATGCAGCAACTTTCCTGAGTTTAAAAACTTCCACATACATGTAAAATCCTGCAGGAAAGGGCCACGTTTTCCTTCCACTTGGGACTGGGTAATGAATGTCCCCCATGCTGCGGCGTAGAGCACCTGTTCCAGGTCCCTGGCTCACTCTGCTTGCTGGTTCAGGAAGCCCAGCAGGATTATTTTAAAATAACGTAAGAATGGCCACACTGCGTCAGGCCAAAGGTCCATCTGTCCCACTGTCCTGCCTGCCCACAGTGGCCAGCACCAGGTGCCCCAGCCACTGCTGGTCCCGGTGAGCGCTCCCCTGTGAACTCGCGGTGCGGCCCGGCTGCCTGTCCCGGTGAGCGCTCCCCTGTGAACTCGCGGTGCGGCCCGGCTGCCTGTCCCGGTGAGCGCTCCCCTGTGAACTCGCGGTGCGGCCCGGCTGCCTGTCCCGGTGAGCGCTCCCCTGTGAACTCGCGGTGCAACCCAGCTGCCTGTCCTAGTGAGCGCTCCCCTGTGAACTCGCAGTGCAACCCAGCTGCCTGTCCTAGTGAGCGCTCCCCTGAGAACTCGCGGTGCGGCTCCTGCTGCTGGTGGGCCAGGGCGGTATGGCAGGGTGGCCCAGCTGCCAGTACCAGTGAGCGCTCCCCTGAGAACTCGCGGTGCGGCTCCTGCTGCTGGTGGGCCAGGGCGGTATGGCAGGGTGGCCCAGCTGCCAGTACCAGTGAGCGCTCCCCTGAGAACTCGCGGTGCGGCTCCTGCTGCTGGTGGGCCAGGGCGGTATGGCAGGGTGGCCCAGCTGCCAGTACCAGTGAGCGCTCCCCTGAGAACTCGCGGTGCGGCTCCTGCTGCTGGTGGGCCAGGGCGGTATGGCAGGGTGGCCCAGCTGCCAGTACCAGTGAGCGCTCCCCTGTGAACTCGCAGTGCGGCTCCTGCTGCTGGTGTGCCAGGGCGGTATGGCAGTGTGGCCCAGCTGCCAGTACCAGTGAGCGCTCCCCTGGGAACTCGCGGAGCGGCCCGGCTGCCTGTCCCGGCGAGCGCTCCCCTGAGAACTCGCGGGGCGGCCCGGCTGCCTGTCCCGGCGAGCGCTCCCCTGAGAACTCGCGGGGCGGCCCGGCTGCCTGTCCCGGCGAGCGCTCCCCTGAGAACTCGCGGGGCGGCCCGGCTGCCTGTCCCGGCGAGCGCTCCCCTGAGAACTCGCGGGGCGGCCCGGCTGCCTGTCCCGGCGAGCGCTCCCCTGAGAACTCGCGGGGCGGCCCGGCTGCCTGTCCCGGCGAGCGCTCCCCTGAGAACTCGCGGGGCGGCCCGGCTGCCTGTCCCGGCGAGCGCTCCCCTGAGAACTCGCGGGGCGGCCCGGCTGCCTGTCCCGGCGAGCGCTCCCCTGAGAACTCGCGGGGCGGCCCGGCTGCCTGTCCCGGCGAGCGCTCCCCTGAGAACTCGCGGGGCGGCCCGGCTGCCTGTCCCGGCGAGCGCTCCCCTGAGAACTCGCGGGGCGGCCCGGCTGCCTGTCCCGGCGAGCGCTCCCCTGAGAACTCGCGGGGCGGCCCGGCTGCCTGTCCCGGCGAGCGCTCCCCTGAGAACTCGCGGGGCGGCCCGGCTGCCTGTCCCGGCGAGCGCTCCCCTGAGAACTCGCGGGGCGGCCCGGCTGCCTGTCCCGGCGAGCGCTCCCCTGAGAACTCGCGGGGCGGCCCGGCTGCCTGTCCCGGCGAGCGCTCCCCTGAGAACTCGCGGGGCGGCCCGGCTGCCTGTCCCGGCGAGCGCTCCCCTGAGAACTCGCGGGGCGGCCCGGCTGCCTGTCCCGGCGAGCGCTCCCCTGAGAACTCGCGGGGCGGCCCGGCTGCCTGTCCCGGCGAGCGCTCCCCTGAGAACTCGCGGGGCGGCCCGGCTGCCTGTCCCGGCGAGCGCTCCCCTGAGAACTCGCGGGGCGGCCCGGCTGCCTGTCCCGGCGAGCGCTCCCCTGAGAACTCGCGGGGCGGCCCGGCTGCCTGTCCCGGCGAGCGCTCCCCTGAGAACTCGCGGGGCGGCCCGGCTGCCTGTCCCGGCGAGCGCTCCCCTGAGAACTCGCGGGGCGGCCCGGCTGCCTGTCCCGGCGAGCGCTCCCCTGAGAACTCGCGGGGCGGCCCGGCTGCCTGTCCCGGCGAGCGCTCCCCTGAGAACTCGCGGGGCGGCCCGGCTGCCTGTCCCGGCGAGCGCTCCCCTGAGAACTCGCGGGGCGGCCCGGCTGCCTGTCCCGGCGAGCGCTCCCCTGAGAACTCGCGGGGCGGCCCGGCTGCCTGTCCCGGCGAGCGCTCCCCTGAGAACTCGCGGGGCGGCCCGGCTGCCTGTCCCGGCGAGCGCTCCCCTGAGAACTCGCGGGGCGGCCCGGCTGCCTGTCCCGGCGAGCGCTCCCCTGAGAACTCGCGGGGCGGCCCGGCTGCCTGTCCCGGCGAGCGCTCCCCTGAGAACTCGCGGGGCGGCCCGGCTGCCTGTCCCGGCGAGCGCTCCCCTGAGAACTCGCGGGGCGGCCCGGCTGCCTGTCCCGGCGAGCGCTCCCCTGAGAACTCGCGGGGCGGCCCGGCTGCCTGTCCCGGCGAGCGCTCCCCTGAGAACTCGCGGGGCGGCCCGGCTGCCTGTCCCGGCGAGCGCTCCCCTGAGAACTCGCGGGGCGGCCCGGCTGCCTGTCCCGGCGAGCGCTCCCCTGAGAACTCGCGGGGCGGCCCGGCTGCCTGTCCCGGCGAGCGCTCCCCTGAGAACTCGCGGGGCGGCCCGGCTGCCTGTCCCGGCGAGCGCTCCCCTGAGAACTCGCGGGGCGGCCCGGCTGCCTGTCCCGGCGAGCGCTCCCCTGAGAACTCGCGGGGCGGCCCGGCTGCCTGTCCCGGCGAGCGCTCCCCTGAGAACTCGCGGGGCGGCCCGGCTGCCTGTCCCGGCGAGCGCTCCCCTGAGAACTCGCGGGGCGGCCCGGCTGCCTGTCCCGGCGAGCGCTCCCCTGAGAACTCGCGGGGCGGCCCGGCTGCCTGTCCCGGCGAGCGCTCCCCTGAGAACTCGCGGGGCGGCCCGGCTGCCTGTCCCGGCGAGCGCTCCCCTGAGAACTCGCGGGGCGGCCCGGCTGCCTGTCCCGGCGAGCGCTCCCCTGAGAACTCGCGGGGCGGCCCGGCTGCCTGTCCCGGCGAGCGCTCCCCTGAGAACTCGCGGGGCGGCCCGGCTGCCTGTCCCGGCGAGCGCTCCCCTGAGAACTCGCGGGGCGGCCCGGCTGCCTGTCCCGGCGAGCGCTCCCCTGAGAACTCGCGGGGCGGCCCGGCTGCCTGTCCCGGCGAGCGCTCCCCTGAGAACTCGCGGGGCGGCCCGGCTGCCTGTCCCGGCGAGCGCTCCCCTGAGAACTCGCGGGGCGGCCCGGCTGCCTGTCCCGGCGAGCGCTCCCCTGAGAACTCGCGGGGCGGCCCGGCTGCCTGTCCCGGCGAGCGCTCCCCTGAGAACTCGCGGGGCGGCCCGGCTGCCTGTCCCGGCGAGCGCTCCCCTGAGAACTCGCGGGGCGGCCCGGCTGCCTGTCCCGGCGAGCGCTCCCCTGAGAACTCGCGGGGCGGCCCGGCTGCCTGTCCCGGCGAGCGCTCCCCTGAGAACTCGCGGGGCGGCCCGGCTGCCTGTCCCGGCGAGCGCTCCCCTGAGAACTCGCGGGGCGGCCCGGCTGCCTGTCCCGGCGAGCGCTCCCCTGAGAACTCGCGGGGCGGCCCGGCTGCCTGTCCCGGTGAGCGCTCCCCTGGGAACTCGCGGTGCGGCCCGGCTGCCAGTCCCGGGGAGCGCTCCCCTGGGAACTCGCGGTGCGGCCCGGCTGCCTGTCCCGGCGAGCGCTCCCCTGAGAACTCGCGGTGCGGCCCGGCTGCCTGTCCCGGCGAGCGCTCCCCTGAGAACTCGCGGTGCGGCCCGGCTGCCTGTCCCGGCGAGCGCTCCCCTGAGAACTCGCGGTGCGGCCCGGCTGCCTGTCCCGGCGAGCGCTCCCCTGAGAACTCGCGGTGCGGCCCGGCTGCCTGTCCCGGCGAGCGCTCCCCTGAGAACTCGCGGTGCGGCCCGGCTGCCTGTCCCGGCGAGCGCTCCCCTGAGAACTCGCGGTGCGGCCCGGCTGCCTGTCCCGGCGAGCGCTCCCCTGAGAACTCGCGGTGCGGCCCGGCTGCCTGTCCCGGCGAGCGCTCCCCTGAGAACTCGCGGTGCGGCCCGGCTGCCTGTCCCGGCGAGCGCTCCCCTGAGAACTCGCGGTGCGGCCCGGCTGCCTGTCCCGGCGAGCGCTCCCCTGAGAACTCGCGGTGCGGCCCGGCTGCCTGTCCCGGCGAGCGCTCCCCTGAGAACTCGCGGTGCGGCCCGGCTGCCTGTCCCGGCGAGCGCTCCCCTGAGAACTCGCGGTGCGGCCCGGCTGCCTGTCCCGGCGAGCGCTCCCCTGAGAACTCGCGGTGCGGCCCGGCTGCCTGTCCCGGCGAGCGCTCCCCTGAGAACTCGCGGTGCGGCCCGGCTGCCTGTCCCGGCGAGCGCTCCCCTGAGAACTCGCGGTGCGGCCCGGCTGCCTGTCCCGGCGAGCGCTCCCCTGAGAACTCGCGGTGCGGCCCGGCTGCCTGTCCCGGCGAGCGCTCCCCTGAGAACTCGCGGTGCGGCCCGGCTGCCTGTCCCGGCGAGCGCTCCCCTGAGAACTCGCGGTGCGGCCCGGCTGCCTGTCCCGGCGAGCGCTCCCCTGAGAACTCGCGGTGCGGCCCGGCTGCCTGTCCCGGCGAGCGCTCCCCTGAGAACTCGCGGTGCGGCCCGGCTGCCTGTCCCGGCGAGCGCTCCCCTGTGAACTCGCGGTGCGTCCCGGCTGTCTGTCGGTGCCTGTCGCAGACCCAGGCTGAGATTGCGTGTTGGGGGTGCTCACCTGTACAGCTGCCCTGTATCCTAAGGGCCAGCTCTGGCGCCCCCTGGAGTCCCACCTACTTGAGAACAGCCAGACGGGGCGGAAACATCTGAAAAGGGAGGCCTCGAACTTGGGGTTGGAGTGGGAGGGGCTTACTGAGCCCTTAGATGGCCCCTTGGCTATCTTGGTGGCCACTGCCCCCCCCAAGAGGCACTGCTGGTGCGTGGAGGGGGAGTGGAAGCAGGGGAGGCCCTGTGGCAGACCCTGCCCCCTCTGCTCCCCGCATCCAGCATCTATGTCTGGGCAAAGACCACGCGTACTTCGTGCCCACCCTCTAGGGTCTCTGGCGGTGTCTGCCAAGAGTGAGTGGGGCAGGCAGCCCCAGGTGAGCGCCCCACCTAAGAACAAAGGTACGAGGGAGCTGGACTGGTGTGGCAGACAAAATACTCCCCAGCCAGTGTCCAGCTCGGAGTCTCCAACCGGCAGGTGTTTCGGGGGAGACTTAGAACATCAGGGACTCTCCAGCTACCTTTAAGGACCAGCGCTTTCCCCAGGTGCGCCAGGTCTGACATCGGCCCTCCACCACACCTGTTCTCTTGGCCTCTGCCATGTGCTGTGGGAGCCTCTCCAGTGTGGCCGGGGGAATGGCCCAGCAGTAGAGGTCCTGTGTAAGATTGTTTCTCGAGCAG